AGCCATGTAATGTGATAGATGGTTACCCATTTGCTCCTAGAAAGTTGTATTCCCCAGAATATGTGCGGCAGTTTTTGCACTTACGACCCAGGACAAGCACTTTTGGGGCTTTATTAAGAGTTCGAGATGCAACATCACATGCAGTTAATGAACATTTTTGTAATAATGGGTGTATACACAAACACACACCAATTTTAACATCAAATGACAGTCAAGGAGCAGGTGAAGTCTTTAGAGTGATTCCTGGTAATGAAAATTTGGTTAAAGAAATGGCAAAAGATGGAATGTCATTTGATGAAGCATATTTTGACTCCAAGACTACCTTACTGTTTCAGGACAACTGCATTTAGAGGCTTAATTTTAAAAAGTAGTCAGAATCATTACTCGTATGTAATGTGATCATATTTTCTGTTCTTATGAATCGTGTTAAATTAATTGGTTTTCAGAGGCCTGAGTAAGGGTTACACATTTGGGCCAACATTCCGGGCAGAGAACTCTCGTTCTCGAATACATTTAGCTGAATTCTACGTGGTAAAATCAGAAACAGCTTTTATTGAATCACTAGAGGAACTCATGAAAGTGATGGAAAATTTGATAAAAGATGTTACGAGCAAAGTACTGGGAAAGTGTACTGACGACGTTCAAACACTGTGTTCAGCAGCTGGAAATGAAGACTCATTATTATCTGTTCTTGAGAAACCTTTTGAAGTCATGACACATGAAGAGGCAGTTGACATCATAGATGGGAATTCAGGAAATTTTGTTTCACTGGTAGAGAGGGGGCAAGGGTTTGGGAAAGAACATGAACTTTATCCTGTGAAACATGCTGGTGGTTGCTCTGTATTTGTAGTAGACTGGCCTCATGACATCAAGCCGTTCTATATGAAATAGAGCTTACAAGATGTCTTGAACATATTTAGAGTAATTAGATTAACATAATTTAACAACGGTAGTATTCATAATGTGATCTTCTATGACATTCTATTAGAGGCAGTGTGTTCCATAAAAATGCTGGTGACCCACTTACCAGACTACAGAGTGTCAAAACCCTGATCAGTACAGTATAAGAACAAAAACCTGATCTCAATTTTAATATCCTGAATTTCACAAAGTACATTTTGCACAGAAGAATAATGATGAAGTTTGCTCAGCAGTGTCAGCATTTGAAATGAATGTGTATTCCGGTTAATGAGCTAGCAAATGTAGGCAGAAGTTGTGCAAATAAGCAGGGTCTTTATTCTGACTGTGCAGTCTTATATCACCACCTCTGTGGTGTAGTGGTCAGATAGTGGATTTTTTTTTTTCAGTTTACCTAATCCTTCCAGCCACACTATGGCCCTGGGGTCAACTCAGTCTCTAACAGAAATGAGTACCAGGATTATTCTTGGGGGTAAAGGGTGGTCGGTGCATAGGGCTGACAAAGTTGCCACCATCTGTGAGCCAATTTTATAGAAAATGTGGGAACCTCAACATCTCTCACTCCTATGGACCTCCACAGCCTGTTACAGGAATACCTTTACCTGTACTTACTGCACATCCATTGCGCTGACCACAAATCACCCACTCTATCCGCAAAAGTTGGCACTCATTTCGCCAACAAGCGGTGGTCACTCGGTGTAGTTCACTTGTGAACTAAGACGATGGAGTTTAGTTTTTAGTTTTTTTAGTATGCAGTTTTATAGCTTACTAGCTCTATTTTTCCTCTCATAAAGAAACCGACATTGGTGGGGAATAAAAATCTGCCACTGCAAGTGAAAACACTATAGAAATTTGAATGATTCAGCTTTTCATTTGAAATGTATAGTTTTTTTTGACAAACCCTAAGGTAGACCACACACCAGCAGGCGTTGAGACATGTAACATTCAAGACATGATGTCTGTGATGTGACGCAAAGAAAGGAGCACATTTGAAACGAATGAGATTATGAAAGCTGCCAAATACTGGTCTGAGTCATGATGCTGATGTCAGCTTCATGCTGACAAATCACGAATGAGTGAAGACTGCATCTTTTGTCTCATGTCTTGATGCAGTTGGTGTGCGACCGCCCTGAAAGGTGCAGAACTCTAAGGCTTATTTTGGACTTTATCCATCGTCTGGTGTATATATATATATATAAGACAAAAAAAAATTTCAGAGACTGGAGCTATGTATGACCTGCCAGTCAGAACAGAAGTTGGTCGTAAGTCGATGACCAAGTGCATAGTGGTTAGAAATAAGTTGCAGTGCTGTTTGTAGTCATTGTAGGTATAATAGTAAGTCTAGAACACGTATTGAATGTACACATGCTCCTTTTCTAGGTATCAGCATTTGATCTGCTGGCTCCTCAAGTGGGGGCAGTCTTCGTGAAGATAATTTCTCACTTCTTCAGGATAAATTGAACAAGTTAGGTTTGTACAAAATGTTAGGATGGTACTTGGAGTTCCGGAAATGTGGCACTGTACCATCTGCTGGTTTTGGAATGGATT